AAAAAAAATATGATTATGTTTCAGGATGGAAAAGATCTTGGACAGGTTCATGATTCTAACATACTCCACACCAAATTTGAGTGACATTAAAATGTCATCAGGATTCAGGGTGTGTTGCAGAAATCCTGTACATTTGTTTTCATTCTTATTTGGCAATTTTATTGATGACATCAGCATTTAGAACCTCACTGGCCAAAATAAAATAAAAATGGCCTGAACAAATTTATGGTGTTTATTTGTTTCTTAGTTTTAATAGCCACGATTTCACGTGTGGGTTCAGGGCCCCATGGTGGGGAAAACAAAGGCAGGCCCACTGTTTGCTCAAAAGCATGTCGTAAGGGTCGACTTAATGGGAGCTTCCTTTGAAGTGCTATTGCCTGAGAGACATGGAACCAATAGTATGCATTCAGATGAGTCAGACCTGTGAAAAGGATGTGCACGCAACTACTCAGCTTTTAGGCCCGGCTCGCTAGCGAAGTTGGCTAAATCTGATTTCGCGTGACCCGGGTGACGAACTCCTTGTGGAGTTCACGCTCGGGGTAGGGGGGGGGGGGGGGGGGGTGGGGGTATGCATTTTTTTATATCTTTTTATGCAGGAAAAAAGCTACATTTCTCCCATATTTACGGTACCTTTCATGGAATAAAGGCCGAAGGCTTATGATATCCATAATACCGAGTCTAATGGTTATTAACAACTCATGGTTTCTGGATACTTATTAAAAAAAAAAAAACTAAGCTTTTAGAACAGGACTAGATTCCAGAAGTGGATGAACAACCAGAACTTTCCGCCCGAGTTCAAAGCCGGTGACCACGATGAAGAAGTATAGTATTATGTGCTATGAGGAGGCATGGGACTCACAGCCCATGGCGATGGCGAGTGTGACTAGCAAGACCTGCCTGCATGAAGAAAAATCTTCCACAATTAGAGCGTGGGATTTCAGGATCGTTGCTGCCATTACATGTATTGAGTGTGTTTCTTGTCAGACGCTTAGCTCTCATTCTTTCTCTAATTATTTCTTCTTTCACTCTCATTGCCCTCTTCACACAACAAGGTGCATTGCATTATGCTCCCACGAATCTACCTCAATACCAGTATCATTTATGCGCTGCTTGCACACATCTTTATACCATAGAAGAGGCCGGTCTCAACATCTCATCATCAAGTGTTTTGCCGACTGGCGTGGATGATCATGCCTCTCCACAATGTGAAACTGCGTGTATCAGTTTGTGTGTTGACAACCCTCCATGCCATGATAAAAGGCTGTCAAGAATCTTCTCGCACTGTCTTCCTCTGTCTCTCTTTCCAGTTGTCACATGTTCCATTTTCCATTTTCCTTTTCATAACATGACAAAACGTTATGACTGTCTCTTTCTAGTGTTTGTGAAAAGTTGTCTTTGAGCACTCACCTCTTTCAAAACATCTGAGTTTCTCTTCTTAGCTGTCCAAAGAATTTTAAGGATTCTTCTGTGAAACCACACCTCTGATGACTCAAGATATTGTCTGGCTTAATTCACAGCCTATGTTAAAACTGGCTGTATATAGAATGCATGAATTCTTTTCCTAACGTCCAATATCATGGATTTATTGCACAAAATGTTCATTTTTTTAAAGGCAGTTTTGGCCTGTCCTATTCTGTTCTTGATCTCAGCGATGCATCTTCCATCAGATGTTATCCATGTGCCTAGATATTTAAATTTATGTGCCTCAGCTTTGACTATTATGATACAATTAGGTACCGTACTAATCTTCTCTTGGAAATCACCATTACTTATGTCTTCCCATTATTCAAATTGAGGCCCATTTTATCACTTCCTACCACCACCGTATCTATCAATTCCTGTAGTTCTTTCTTACTTGACATCTGCCCATCCGTAATTCATAACAGAGGATATCCTTAGGGATTCTACCAACCTCCAGGTTTAACCAAGTCACCACAACCTTAGAAGAAGAGATCAGTACCATGCTAGCTGTATGACCCCTTTGTACCAGGCAGAAGTCAGTCCTGACAAGTGGCAGCACACTGCGACTCAAAGCAATGACAGATGTAATCAGATCTCTGCTGGTCACACACTGTAGTGGACGCTAGCAGCAGAGAAATCTACTCCATGTGTAAACTAAACAGTTTAAGCAAAGGACTGTTTTCTACATCTTCAGTCATACTGGGCATATAGGGTTCAACCTATATTTTATAGAACAAACGGCACTTGGCAGGTGATGTAGTCACTATCATGCTGGCCACCTTTATTTCCCAAGACTTTTACCTAGTATCCACTTCTTCTTCATTCATGTTCACCGGCGGTAAACTCTAGGGGGAAGTTATAGTTTGTTCGTCCACTTCTGGACTTTGATTGTGTTCCAGAACCTGATTGTTGCATGCACATCCATTTTATAGATCTTTTTTGTATGCAGAATGTTGGTTCCTCTCTGGCAGATGGACTCTGACTTCGAAAGAAGCACCCAGTTGGTCGACTCCTACCACATGCTTGTTAGCAAGGCAATGGGTCTATTCTTGTTTCTCCCGAGAACCACATGGGGAGCTATCCATTTAAAGCTGGGTCTGCCTGGAAGCAAAAGTTATTTTTTAAGAGAGAAAAAAAAAAGGTCCAGTACTGTTGTGATTAAAACCCATGGCCACCAAAGCATCAGGTGAGTGTCTAGACACTATACCACGCAGCTGCCACATGTGTAAACTTTGGTCATAGGTTAAACCAGTGTTTCCCAAACTTTTTCTTAGTGGCGGCGCCTTTTTTATTTACAATTTTTCCACGGCTCGCTAACCTAAGTAAAAGTATGACTATTTGTGTGTAAGAGATTAAAAAATAAATACAACTTGTGTATCTTTAAATATTTCACGGCACCCCTGTGAAGAGGTCGCGGCTCTCCTGGGCACAGTGGCACACAGTTTGGGAATCACTGGGTTAAACAATCAATGTGTTACCAGGTGGGATGGAATCCATTCTCCCTAAAACTGAAACAGACCTAGCAAGTCAGCAGTGAATTACAGACTGCCACAAAAAAAAAAGAAAAAAAAAACCAAACTGCATAAACCCACTTTATTTATTTTCACATATTTAGTTGATTACAAGATGCTGATATTATCTGACCAGCACACATCACCTAGCTTGCACTCATCTGGCTACTTGTTATATGTCTTCTCTCTTTACCTTCTACTTTACACAGCTGTTTCATCAATCCTTCCTATCCCAAACATTATTATGTTCAATTAGGAATCCACATCACAGCACTCAGAACATTCATGAATGGGCTCCGTCCCCATCTTCAACAGTTAGTGAAGAGTTCCAGTTCTGATGGCAGTCAAAACAGTCTGCCTTTACAGCCTTTTCCTTGAGTATCGGTCAGATCCCCTGGTCATTCCTCTCAGCACCATTCTCATTAGACTGCAATTATCTATCTGTGCCATCGCACTGTTCACTCGCGCCCTATCCATCTGTGCCACTGCACTGTTCACTCGTGCCCTATCCATCTGTGCCACTGCACTGTTCACTCGCGCCCTATCCATCTGTGCCACTGCACTGTTCACTCGCCCCCCCCCCCCCCCAAAGGACCCTTTCAGCATCTAGATCATCTTTGCCATGTTTAATTACCAATTTCTTATGATCAAATTTGCCAAGAGCCTCAATTTATATATCCGTTTATACTCCATGTCATGCTAAATATATAAAGAAAAAAATTACATAATTTCAGAAACACTTCATTAAAGCATTACATACAAGAAAAGAATTTCCAAAATATCAAAGGCTGATATTTCAGCTAAATGCATTTGGGTTAGTGAAAAAAAAAAAGCATGTGAAAATAATTGTACATTTCACTACGGACGTGCCAAACCTGACACTCTAAATAGCAATTCTGTGAAGTCATTTGGAACATACTGTTGAATGAAGCAAGCCGATCACTTGTATTAAGATATTCTGATCCCATATTATTAAATTTGTAGTATTCCTAAATCGGCTTCTTCTTAGTGACACACGGTTGTGAAACTTTCGCAGAAAGGTCTGGTTGTTCAACCCCTTCTGGACTTTGATTTTGTTTCAAAACTTTTCTGTGTATGCCAGTTTTGCATGCATATCAGTTTTACAGATATGGCAAATTTTCATGCAGACTGTTACGTCCTTGCCTGTTAGGCAGATGAACTCAAACTTTGAAGGCAACACCACTAATCAGTCATCCTTCTAGGACATGCTTGCTAGGGGCAGTGGGTTGATTCTGTGCTGTCCACAATGGAACCCCAGAACCCACCGACACAAGTACTCATAAATGAGAAGTCAATGCATTTATATGCAGACAAAATTATTATCTCCAGTAAAAGAATACAATGTCGTTAGACAAGAATATTAGCCACAATTTGTAAGCCCAGGTCGTTAATAAAAATGTGGAACTGAACCCGGATATTCAGGTCAGCAGGCAAGGAACTAACCACCGCACCTTTCCATTGATGTCAATGGGGAACAACCTTAACTAGCAATAAAAATGTAACCAAAAAAAAAAGCTGTACACAAACAAAATGACCGTCAAAAGTTGTGAAGATTATGAAATAGAAGGAGCGAGGAAGAGATGACTAGCTTGAAGAGTTAACCTGCAGCAATACATCAACAATACACAGAATCTCAACATCTGATATTAAAGAATAACTGAAAAATGGATCAAATTTAACATGACAAAAATATGAATAAATCGATATGCCAAACAGCTCAAGATACAATACAGGAAAATGATGAGACAATCAACACTTCCGGACACAATTAAGAGAAATCCTGATACAATCAACACCACAAACATTGCAACTGATACTGCCACAAACAACAACAACAATAATTTCTGAAATTTGGTTAACAAAATAATGTGTATTATGAAAGTATATGTTCTAACAGCGGTCATTCTGTATCTGAGTAAAGCAGTTACAAAATAAAATCCACTTTGGTTCTGACAGTCCATGGGGTACAAAGAGTCTGACAAGAAGATGTTTGGTAAACTGCTCGTTCTACTCGTCCTCAAACAACATTTGGATGAGATCATCATTTAGACACTGCTCCTCTTCCAGTTTGTGGCGCTGAAGAAATCAAACAGAAACTATAAGATAAGGAACAAAATATGGTTCATTTCTTACCCATCAGTCAGCAAAAATTCTGATAGCCCTGACTCAGCAAAAACTGATCATCATATCATCATCTTGTGCCTTGCTTGACTGCATAAACACAGATGTCCCTAAACGGATTATCAGATCACAGTGTTTTGGTTGCCTTATGATGATATTCCTGCATGCAGCTGTCACAAACAATCCAGCACCAAGTGATACTGCCCTAGTTTAAATCATTATCAGGCACTCTTAATCATGTTAATCGACCTGCTCCTTAGTCTTCCTCATGCTCGTACCAACAGGTACTTGATAATTTACCCACAACATAATTACAAACTGCCAGGGATAGTTGCATCACAAAGTCAACTCTGCCAAGCATAGTTGTTTCACAATGTCAACTCTAGCCAGGTATAGTTGTATGACAATGTCAGCTCTAGCCAGGTATAGTTGTTTCACAATGTTAACTCTGCAAGTATAGTTGCTTCACAATGTCAACTCTGCCAGGTAAAATTGTATCACAATGTCAAATCTAGCCAGGTATAGTTGTTTCACAATGTCAACTCTAGCCAGGTATAGTTGTTTCACAATGTAACTCTAGCCAGGTATAGTTGTTTCACAATGTCAACTCTAGCCAGGTATAGTTATTTCACAATGTCAACTCTGCCAGGTATAGTTTTTCACAATGTCAACTTTGCCAGATACAGATGTTTCACAATGTCAACTATGCCATGTATTGTACAAATCTTGTTCTATTTTCTGCACATTTCTCAACCAGAAAAACTGCTTTAAAAATTGATTCACCTCAGGACTTTCATGAGATTTAAAGCGAACACTGTGCTGACCTCACCTCTCAAACTAAAACACTTCTCCTGTTTATAAGGTTTATGTATGGCACATTTTCTGTATATCTTCCTTTTTACCCCCTCCATCTCTCAATGTAGCCCAGGGCTTCAACCAACTCACAACATGCTCTATATAGGCTCGCTTGTGACTGACAGGATTCTGCAGTTGAAGATCTACATAGGATGAGCTAGCAAGTCTCAAGCCAACCCTCCCCAGTTGCCTTTTATGACATGCATGGCAGGTTACATTTATACAATTCATTTCTTCATTACATCTGGCAAAAAAGGGCATTTGGTTACTTTTTGTGTTGAATCCACCGTTGCTGGACAAACAAAATATCTCAATATTTATTTGACACTTACAAAAACTATTCTCAGACAAGCTGGCATTTAACTGAATACTTACAGAACCTAACTTGAGCAGTGTCGGGATACATTTGATAGCAAACTTGGGGTCTTTCCTAAATTCATTATTTTGATTTTTCCAGCTGTGGGAGAAACAAGAAAGAAAAGGATCAAAATAACTAGTGTAAAATATCTTCAAATATATACAATCCTCACAGGTAATTCAACATATTTACAAACCTCACATGTGATTCAACATATTCAAATTTACTATGTTTCAAATAAGTGGCCTGGAGAGAATGGTGATAAAGGGTAGTTTTTGGAAAATGAGGCAGACTGAGATGGTGTAAAAAAGACATTGAATATGCATTGGGTATGAAAGCACACAGAGCTAGAGAATGAGTCTTTCATGTGTACTGTGAGGTGAGCAAAGCTCTCTAAAAGTTCTGCTCACTAATGATGATGTGTTTCAATTATGTATATGGACATTCAGAGGTCATAAAAGGCTACATAAACAATTTCACTGTATCAGCATGTACCCCAACCAGCTCAATGGTCTCAGCAGTGAGACCAGCACAGTTTTAAAGCTCCAGCAACAACCCCAGAGGATACCTGATTGGCATTTGTCAACTGAGTACCTCACTCTCAAAATACTTTCAAGGCCTCAAGAGTTCATAAACAAGTGGTCTGACTCCCCTACAGGCACCATCCAGGCATGGACTTTTACAATGTTCTAATATTAACAATGAGTGTACTAATATATGCATACACTGCTTTCACATACAAACAATGAGTGTACTAATATATGCATACACTGCTCTCACATACAGGCAAACAATGAGTGTACTAATATATGCATACACTGCTTTCACATACAGGCAAATAATGAGTGTACTAATATATGCATACAATGTTCTAAGGTACAGGCAACAATGTGTGTACTAATATATGCATTCACTGTTTTCATATACAGGCTGAATGTACTAATATATAAATGCTTACTATGCTCTGTCTCCAACATGGCAATGAATGAAAACAGCATCACTCGGAGCCTTCTCCAGATTTCTTTCAATCACAGGATCAGCTGTAGAAAAGATCAAAGTAATACACACATAAAAGTCAAACAATCACGGGATCAGCTGTACAAAAGATCAAAGTAATACACACATGAAAATCAAACAATCACAGGATCAGCTGTAGAAAAGATCAAAGTAATACACACATGAAAGTCAAACAATCATAGGATCAGCTGTACAAAAGATCAAAGTAATACACACATGAAAGTCAAACAATCACAGGATCAGCTGTAGAAAAGATCAAAGTAATACACACATGAAAGTCAAACAATCGTAGGATCAGATGTACAAAAGATCAAAGTAATACACACATGAAAGTCAAACAATCATAGGATCAGCTGTACACAAGATCAAAGTACTACATACATGAAAGTCAAACAATTACAGAATCAGCTGTAGAAAAGATCAAAGTAATACACACATGAAAGTCAAACAATTACAGAATCAGAACAAACAGACCAAAGTACAACAAGCCAGTAGTCATTCTTTTTCTTTTTATTCTTCATGTTCACCAGCAGTAAACTCTGGTAAAATGTTCTGGTTGTTCATCCACTTCTGGACTGTAGTCATGTTCCAAAACCAGAGTGTTGTGTGCATATTTCAGGGACTTTAAAGGAAGCTTCCAATTAGTCACTATGCGTTTGGTTAAGCAGTGGGTCTATTCTTGCTTTCTCTATAACAGATCGCCAGAGCCCACAGGGGAAGTACAGTCATTCTAGTTATACTATCACTAACATCAGTGTATTTTCATCACTTTTTAACTCTTTCAGTCCTAGGGGGTTTAGCATCAGAGGCCAAGAGGTAGTCAAGAGACACGTAAAATCGCTACATCTTGAGTTCACTGAGCTTCTATGTAGGAACCTATGAATGTATGATGTGTTCCTTGGGACTCAATTCATCACTTCCTTATTTTGTAGGAACAGGCTAGGTTAGTGTCTGTGCTCTAATCATAACATGAGCATTAGAAGAAAGATGGTGGAGAAACAACAAGTGGAAGAGCAAAAGAAACCATATTGCCATGTGAAGTACACATAAAAACAGTGCAAACTAACTATTTACATATTTTTTGTTTATACTGTGCTACAGGTTGGGACAATACGTACACAAAATGTCCCCCACATGCATATAGTAATGGAAGGAGTGGCAACCCGGAGGGATTCCAATCAGGAGTTGACTAGAAGAACAAAAGTACACTAGCAGTACTAGTACGGTACAACAGCGGCACAATTATTACTGAAATTATTTCAATTATGGCCGTACTCTAGTTATGAATATATACATGAAGCTTCGGTTCAAAATGGACGCTAGGCACGGCCACTGTTTGGAGCGGAAGAAAATTGTGTGCTTCTACTAGACGGTGGCCGGTGCATTTTTGCTCCATTTTTAGACTGAAAGGATAGTTTCGTCGCCATACTTCTGAGTTGAGTGCATGGCGTGACACTGAGCTGCTGATTTCATTTGGAATGCTTTTCTACTGTGACCAACATGGAGGTATGAATTGTAGATTCAGAAAAAAGTGTAATGCTTGTTGTCACAATGTTGGTGGTGTCCTTATGTGATTGAAACTGATCGCATGTGCAACTGCTGATCTGTTGGTTTTTTCTGCTACCATCCATGATGAACTGCATTTCTAATGTCAGACTGTTTGTGTTAGCACTCGGGTGGCTACCGTTTGCTTTTAATGCATGTGTATGCTAGATATGTTGAGACAGCAGTCTATCAATATTTCCACGAGAGACTGTGATAAACATTCTGTGTGTTTTTCGTTGGCACAGGAGCGGAGCAACGATGGAGTGACCCGTTTATATGATGCTGAAATTAAGACTACCAGACTACCAGATATACATAAGGCAAAGTAACAGGCAAAAGGCCAATCTGTTTTTACGACGGGTCATATGATAACAGCAGTGAACTGCAAAGGACCTGCTACATGATGATGATGACATGTAAGTAGGTATACAAAACACTTTATCACGTGAGCCATGTTCAGTACAGAGGTTCAAAGTGCGACCCTTACCTTTAACACAGTCAGGACACCAGCTGACTCCATCGGCATCGGGAGTGCCGCTAAATAACACATACACTTTTCCTGTCTGTTCCTTTAACACATTGTTAAGAGCTTCATAGCCATCCACGGTAATGCTCCTGACCATCTTGTAAGTGGGCGCGATGCTGTAGTTGCGGAAAGCAAGTCTGGCAGGTTCCCGTAGCGAGCAGAGCAGACTAAGTGGTCTAAGGTACATGGTCACAGCCACTACAAATTGATCAGGCTATGCAACTATACGTAAAACAAACTACTTTTATTTGACTCTACTTTATTAAAATTACTCTTTAGATGCGTTAATTTAATAAAAAAAAATTATATCAATTGTATTTAGCTAGCTGTATATGATTTTCGCATATTTGAATATTTATTTTTGTTATATATAAGAGCAAGTTTATTAAGTATTATTTTGCTAGGAAGCCAAATATTCTTTTTAAGTTGCAAATATGATTAATCAGCACACGTTGTTTTTTACGAAATAAAACTTTTGACTCCATTTGTTTATAGCTAAATATTTATTTTATTTTGTGAAAAAAATATAAATTTTACTCAATTTGTAAACAATTAATTTTTTTGAATAAAAGTAATTTAATTTTTAAATTTAGTTTGCAAATCGTGATTTGTTACTTAAATGAATTCTTATTTTGCAAGTTACCGACTAGCAGAAATGGCAGGTGCAGCTGTCAAGAAGGTTTCACAGCCTCGATCATCGAAATATCTCAGAGCATTTATTCTGGTATTGTGTTTGTTAGGGTTGTGTATCTCTATTTTTGGATTGTATATTGAGATTCTCAAGGAGAAGAACCCGAACTATGTTCCTTTCTGTGATATAAATTCCTATATCGCATGTTCCAGGGCCTTAACTTCCAGGTACGTTTGTTGATAATGATCATAATGATAATGATAGTCTGCTTAATTGAAAATTGATTATACAACTGCATGTATCAGTTCATGTGCTGGCCACTCGCCATGACAAAAGGCTGTCAGTAATCTGTTCACGTTGTCAAATATCATTGTCTGTCTCTGTTTCTGTAAATCTTTTCAGTGGTCACATGTTCTAGTTTCCCTCTTTTCAGTGAAAAATTTTCATTGATTTTGATAACCTGTCCAGAATTTCTGTCTCCTTCTGATAAGTTGTTTTTGTGATCTTTCAAAATGCATTACTAATAAAATATACCACAATAAAAATTGTGCATTTCAAATGTAAGAGTTGATGTGATTGCCTTCCTGTTCCATTAGAAAACATTAGTTCTAACCATTTCATTTAGAAACTTGCTTACAACAGGCCTGTTGTGAATTTGATGAGGGCCTGCGCTTCATTATCATTAGGAAAGAAAATGAAAAGGGGGTGGGTAGAGATCACCTACACTAGACCAGAATTCATGGACCTTGAAGAAGAGTGATGACATGGAGAAGTATAGTGATTGGTAATGTGTTAGTAAAAATGTATAATGGTTTATACTCTGTGTCAAGGGTTGATACAAAACCTGTTAATTTGCTTGTGTCTGGTCAATCATGTAGGTATGATAAGGGTTGATACAAAACCTGTTAATTTGCTTGTGTCTGGTCAATCATGACGTAGGTATGGTAAGGGTTGATACAAAACCTGTTGATTTGCTTGTGTCTGGTCAATCATGTAGGTATGGTAAGGGTTGATACAAAACCTGTTGATTTGCTTGTGTCTAGTCAATCATGTAGGTATGGTAAGGGTTGATACAAAACCTGTTGATTTGCTTGTTTCTGGTCAATCATGTAGATATGGCAAGGGATTTGGTTTAGTGGACAAGTTCCTCTCCAACACCAGCATTCTCAACCAGCCAAACACAGTGTATGGGATAGCATTCTACACATTCCAGGCAACACTCAGTGAGTATTTCTTGTCTTTCTTCCCCTTGCAAGGGGGGGGGGGGGGAGAGCCACCATGTTGTAGCAGCTAGATGCTTCCTTGCAGATCCAAAGGTCGTGGGTTGAAGTCTGACTGTTTTATTTGTTCAGAAATGACCTCCCCTCCCACCAGCCTTAAATGGTTAACCATGTACAGTCCTGAGAAATCAAGGCCACTGGCATGATGTTGACCTCATGACCTGCCAGGTGCCCATTAGTCTGAAAGTATAGGTCTAGCACTGTATACCAAATATGCCTAGAGGGGGGGGGGGGGGGGGGGAAGGATCCTCGCAAGGGAGTGTGTCACTTCTTGTTATTTGCTTGAAAGATCAGTGTGTCCAGCTGCAACATAACTTCCTCTAAGACCCCATCCAAGATGACCGACTTGATCTTCCCCAGAGTAGCTTTTCTTTCTTTAGTTTTGAGACTTGTGAGTTACTTTGATATTACTGCCATGGAGTTCTTCACCTACACTATTTGCACACAGAGCTGCCAGTTCTTTGTCCTTATCTGAGAAGGCTGAATATTTTATTTCACTACTCTAATTATTCTTCTACCAGCTGTATGCGAGGATTCAAACCAGCCTACTTCTGAGGTACTGTGATGCTAAAGTCGGACACAGTGGGGGTGCTGATATGGTGGTCAAGACCTCTGAAGCTCTCTGTGGTTATCCTGTGAACAAGTTTGCAGACAGGCCTAGCTAGAGTAGACAGCTTCAACGTTTCCTTGATCTCAGACTGCATCTGCCTGAGAGACATAGAAGCAGCAGTCTGCACACAAATAAGCCAGATCTATAAAACAGATGTGCATACCACACTCATTTCCTGGAACAAGACAAGCCCAGAAGTGGATAAACAACTAAAACTTACTGCTCAAGTTTACAGCTGGTGGATGAGAAGACTCCTGTGAAAATGCCTAGATGTGTGCTGGGATTCAAACCAAGAACCTTATGAGGTACTGTCTGAAATAAAAGTACCAATACTGAACAGTGTGTCTTAAAAAGGTGCCAGTGTCCACAATAAAGTGTATTGTGTATCACTGCATACTGCTAGGAAAAAGAAAAGCATGGGTAGTGTAATGGTAAAGTTTAAAACAGTGATCTTTAAAGTGCAGACTCACCTGGGCCACTGTCTAGCCAAGCCCCTGTTTCCAGGTCTTGAGGAATGTTGGGCATATGAGGCTAGGTCTGTAGTTTTTACACGAATCAGCACATCCTGGCGTCATTATAAATTAGCAAGTCCTTTACAGAACGTCGCTGTCTTCATGGCATGCCTGAAAGTATCCCTTTCCCTAGTCAGCTTTCAAGCCCCATGTGCTTTCAATGCCAATGCATTTTCAATGTCCTGTATCCATCTTCACAGTGGTCGACCCCTGCCTGGCCTTCCACAAACTGTACCCTCCATCACCGTATTTTCCAAGCCACCATCACGCTTGATGTGGACAAAATACTTCAAATTTTGGGACAGGATGCTATTTATGAGCCAGTTCTCCTTGATGTTCGACTTGTTCAGAATGTCGATGTTTTTCCTCTACTTTTTCCAGGTATTCTAAGAATGTTTCTATAACATTTCAATTCAAAAGCTCCAATATTTTTTCTGAGTGACTGAGCGAAAGTCCACTGATTTAAGATGCTGGCTAGTGGGGTTAATATCATGTCAGCCATCTTTACTTCCATTGTGGGGTTTTATTGCAAACATAAATGAACAGTGTTTGAAAACAAAGAGCCTCGCAACAAATTCCCTACATCCAGTATGAGAATGAAGGTGGAGGCAGTAATGACAGCTTTCTGAATGCCTGAGCAGCACAACATGACATGTATTTGCAATGAATTCACAGAATATGTTTTGGAATGACTGGTATCCTGTGCACAGTGGCTTGTAGTGTGGATAAGACTCAGACCAGGGGCATATCATTGATGTTCAATCATTGACATTCAGGTGTGCAATGTAACGAGCAGGCTGATAGGTTAGCTGCTGCCACTCCTCTGGAAGGTGAGCTACTTTATGATAAAACAGGCATGGAGAAGGCTGTCTGGGATCAAAAGGACAGTGCAAAAAGAACAGATAGCTAATGTATACATTGAAAGACTCATTTAATGGGAGGTGAGTAGAGGTACTGGAAGATATTTAACACTGAGGGAAAAACATAGAAAAACTTTTAACCAGCTTGCAGCTGAAAAAGGGGGTGCATCCTGTATGGGAATGTCCTGAGTGCAGTGATGTCAGTTCTGGATTGATTCATTCACACTTCCTGTAACATTTTCTTAGGCCAGGTCAGCATGGGAGCCAATCAAATGCTTAAAAATCCACCTTGATGGGGACTTAAACCTGTGACAGGAACCCATGACATAAACCTGTGACTAAATCCATGACTTAAAAACCTGTAACATGAACCTATGACTGAAACCTGTGACCTGAACCCATGACTGTAACCTGTGACTTGAACCTATAACCATGGAACTGCAGACACATGTGATAGACAGTGGCTGCCACTATCTAGATAAACAAGTGCAGTAATCACCATTTCGCCAGTTAGTGTTTGTCTGTTGCAGGTTTGAGCTCATCATCTTCAGCTGCTGTTGTACAAACTGCTGGCAGTGTTTTGGCCAACATAGGATCCGTATACCTGGGCTACATTCTCTATTATATCATCAGGGACTTCTGTTTGGTTTGTGTTTCAACTTACGTAGTGAACTTCCTCTTGCTTATCGCATGCATAGCTAGACTGAGAACTGCTGTGGCCGAAGATATAAAGAAAACTGTCAGGAAGAAGAAATAAGCTTCAATATGTTGTGGAGCCGTGCCTGATTTGGTCACATTAAGTAACATAAAGTATAGTAATTATGATAAATTGCACACTAAATGAAATATTTACTAACGCATATAAAATCACATAGTTTAACAGTAGGTAGGCGGAGCAGAAGCTGTGTTTTTAAAGATGAAAAGTTCCTTATTTTAATAAGTCCTCTTCATGAAATGTATAAAAGAGAGAACTGAAATGTTATCATACCCGTTCTGAGGAATGTTAGTGTATCTTGGAATGTGAACAAACAGGTCACAAAGAGTTCAGAGACAGCTGAGATGTGCTTCCTGAGGTGGATGTTGGAGTAGCTTGGGTGGCTACAGTAACTGACAATAATTGCCTATAAAAGCTAATCAGTCTTATAACTATAATAAAGAGACCAACAGTGTTCTTTGTTCATGTGGCGAGAAGAGGTGCTTTGGAGAGCTGGAAAGATCAGCGGTAGAGGAGGTAGAAACAGAAAAATCAGCTGGTGTGACCTGAGATAGTGGTATGGAAAAGCAACACAAATTAATACCAAGAGCTCAGATTTGTGGAGAGGCGGAAATGTCGACATCATGGCACATAATCATGATGATGCTATATAATCAAGTCTATGCTGTCTTTGGATCGAAGATTGACAGAAATGAGCCTCTGTTTTCTGTCTGTATGGCATACTCTAGACTTCTGCCAGCTGATGTCTTGGTGTCTGCCCACATGTAACATCATCTTCCTTATGCATGCTTTTCTTCCAGCATACCCTTCAACTTACTATTTTTTGGGGGGTGTTTAAAAAAAAAAAGGCTAAAATAGTTTACTCTTGAATATGTCAATTGGATATTGTCAGTACTGGTTATTGCAGGCTGGTTTCTCAACTGCTGCTAGTGGATCCGGCTATGAAAAAACTAACCCCACTGCAGCTGTTTTTCTAACTAATTCTAACACATAATGTTGCTTTCTGAACACTTTTACACTGTTATCAGTTTGGAGCACAATTTGCTTTTGATAAGCAGGTTTTTTTTTTTTTGCTACAAAAGTATGCCTAAAAAAAAGGTGTCAGTACTGCGTTTGGTTAGAAAACAAATGCCCTGAGGTTAATGTCAGGTTGAAACAATGAACACTCCTCAAAGTATATTGGTCCTTTGCATACACGCCTCATTTTTATTATAGATATCTTGTCTTTCTATAGTTTTCCTGGTGCCGTTTTTAGTATGTGACTATTATCACACGAACTGCCTTGACTTTCCAGAACCTTTCAGGGTATCCATTTTTCATATATGATTAATAAAATGCTAGCCACCTTTATTTCATATAACTGTTCTTGATATTGATTGTAATATGTGACGAGCATTATGACCGCCCCTTTTACTTCCGAGAACTTCATCCAGCTACTCATTTTTAGACTGGGTCATCACGAGAGCCCAGGCCAGTATAAGTCTTGTAGTCTCAGAATATCCCAGAATCTGCTTAGAGGGAGACATGGCAGTAACAACAGAAATACAAGTGTATTTTTATACAAACAAAAATTAAAAAAAGTTAGGAGCAAATCTTGTACATGACATTGCAGAACCAACCCTAGCACTTAATGTTGGCTGTTTGTGATTTCATCAAGTAGTGTTTACATTCAGTACTTTGCTATCACTGTCTGAGGCTGGGATCGAACACAAAACCTCGGGATTAAAGAAGTGTTCATTCGCAATGTTTAAGTCACAGACACCAACACAAGTTTAATCAAAACAGAGTTTCTTTTACAAATGTTCTGGGCATCCAGGTTATATCAGCCTTTAAAAAAAGAAATGGGTTCTAGGAGATAGTTTGGGATGTAAAGGTGGTTAGTGTGATATCAACTAAATTGCTCATCTAGTGCTGATTGTGTAAAGGTGGTTAGTGTGATATCAACTAAATTGCTCATCTAGTGCTGATTGTGTAAAGGTGGTTAGTGTGATATCAACTACATTGCTCATCTAGTGCTGATTGTGTAAAGGTGGTTAGTGTGATATCAACTAAATTGCTCATCTAGTGCTGATTGTGTAAAGGTGGTTAGTGTGATATCAACTACATTGCTCATCTAGTGCTGATTGTGTAAAGGTGGTTAGTGTGATATCAACTAAATTGCTCATCTAATGCTGATTGTGTAAAGGTGGTTAGTGTGATATCAACTACATCGCTCATCTAGTGCTGATTGTGTAAAGGTGGTTAGTGTGATATCAACTACATCGCTCATCTAGTGCTGATTGTGTAAAGGTGGTTAGTGTGATATCAACTACATCGCTCATCTAGTGCTGATTGTGTAAAGGTGGTTAGTGTGATATCAACTACATTGCTCATCTAGTGCTGATTGTGTAAAGGTGGTTAGTGTGATATCAGCTACATCGCTCATCTAGTGCTGATTGTGTAAAGGTGGTTAGTGTGATATCAACTACATCGCTCATCTAGTGCTGATTGTGTAAAGGTGGTTAGTGTGATATCAACTAAATTGCTCATCTAGTGCTGATTGTGTAAAGGTGGTTAGTGTGATATCAACTACATCGCTCATCTAGTGCTGATTGTGTAAAGGTGGTTAGTGTGATATCAACTAAATTGCTCATCTAGTGCTGATTGTGTAAAGGTGGTTAGTGTGATATCAACTACATCGCTCATCTAGTGCTGATTGTGTAAAGGTGGTTAGTGTGATATCAACTACATCGCTTATCTAGTGCTGATTGTGTAAAGGTGGTTAGTGTGATATCAACTACATTGCTCATCTAGTGCTGATTGTGTAAAGGTGGTTAGTGTGATATCAACTACATTGCTCATCTAGTGCTGATTGTGTAAAGGTGGTTAGTGTGATATCAACTACATTGCTCATCTAGTGCTGATTGTGTAAAGGTGGTTAGTGTGATATCAACTACATTGCTCATCTAGTGCTGATTGTGTAAAGGTGGTTAGTGTGATATCAACTACATCGCTCATCTAGTGCTGATTGGTCTGGTAATAACACTGCTACCACCATAACCCACCCACTTTAAGGTAGGAGACTGAGCCCTTGGATGTGATTATGTTACAGTATGGATCTGTTTCATGATGAATCATGAACACAGCCATGATGTGGTTTGAGTAGAGTGCAATGATTATCGTGGAATTATTGACAACCATTCAGATAGTCTTGCTTGAGAGGTTTGTAAACTGATCAGAGAAATTAGACGTATACAGTTGGTGTTTTTTCAGACGTGTTAACAGAAGGAATAGACTCAAGAATTTGGGGATAATTGGCAGGACTGATGAAAAAGAAGTAACGGGAAAGGCAGCGAGATAAATACCAGGATAGTTTAACTGTATGGGCAGAGGCGAGCTAAGAACCCTGACCTGATCCTATATTCTAGTGATTCATGTGCGATTACAGCCTACTTTTGTCAACATGGCACATGGTGATGATGATAACAGGGCAAAAATAGAATATTTGTTACTATATTACTTTTCTGTTTCAGTTTTTAAAACATTGTTTTCGTGTAATGAATTTAAATAATACGGATATAAACAACACATTGCAAAATGTATTGCTGGGCATTTTTGCTGCATCTCGCTAGGTGTGTTATACTGCAGTTATATCAATGTTTAATGAAGCATAAGAATGAATAAACGTCGAAATTAAACAAAAAAAAGAGTTAATTGTCAATTTGAAGTCACCCTGGTATATCACATGGCTGTCATGAACTTCTAGCGATTTGACAACAGTGGATTTCAGTTGTTATTCATTTTTTCATTATATATTGATATAACTGCAAAGAACGCAGCTGATGAGATGCAGCAAACTTAGCCCGGCAATAAATTGTGCAATGTATTGTTTAAATTTTCCCAATTGGTCGCAGATATTTTATTTAGTATCACATTGTAAGGATACTTTTAGACATGATTCATTGTACAAGGTGTTCCTCATTAATGTGAATGTTGATTCTTGATAGCTGAACGTTTATTTATGCTTCCAGACCATAGCTAGACACATGTTTATTCTCTTTCCGTCTGATTAGTTTTTATTTTAAATTCACACATTTTTGGAATGATTTTATTAATATCGAAGGCTTACTTGTCATAGTCTGGTGGGATTATAATGAGCTACATTTGGGTGAATCTGATGTTAATGTCACAAATGTGTATCAGTGTTATTATCTGTATTATTCTTTTTAGAACTTTCATTGCTGTGTTAAAATTGTATTCTAACATTTATTATGTATTAATATTTTACCTTATACTATATGGTTATTAAAAAATTGTGGATTTCTTTTGGGATCAGTGTTATTTGTGGATTGATATATTTTTGATTCAGTGTTGATGTGGATTGTTGTACATAAGAAATCAATTCCCAGCACAGTAACTATAGCTTTTAATTGTTGTGTTGTCTAGTTTGTCCTTCTATCTTTCTGCTTCTTTCTTTGAGTGCCAATCAATGCATTAGGAAAATATATAAAACTGAGCGAAAGGTATATCAGCAAGCTTCACAATATAACGAACACACACAAAAACGTGAACGCTGCGACTATGGAGCCTTCATCAGCACATACATTAATACAGTCAATACATTTTAAAAAAAAATTATTTATAGTGTTTCTATGCCTCAAGGGTTCTTCCCCCCCCCCCCCCCCCCCCCCACCCCCCCCCCCCCCCCCCCCCCCCCCCCATCTATTTATGTGTTTCTTGTATGAAGCTCAGGTATGAATCCTTAATAAGGTGATGTATTTTTTTCTGTCAGTCGCGAACATACAAATTCTAACCTGCAGTCTAAGGCAATTGCATTTGACACACAGCCCTAAATCCTGACTCTCACTACTCTATCGTATAAAAAAAAATGGGTAAATACATGCAGCTGACAGATAAGTTTATTGAATCTCTTCTGAACCTTCAGACAGGTTTAATGAGCTACCTCTGAACTTACAGATGGATTTAAAGAGCTACCTTTGAACTTACAGATGGATTTAATGAGCTACCTTTGAACTTACAGATGGATTTAATGAGCTACCTTTGAACTTACAGATGGATTTAATGAGCTACCTTTGAACTTACAGATGGATTTAATGAGCTACCTTTGAACTTACAGATGGATTTAATGAGCTACCCCTGAACTTACAGATGGATTTAATGAGCTACCCCTGAACTTACAGATGGATTTAATGAGCTACCTCTGAACTTACAGATGGATTTAATGAGCTACCCCTGAATCTTCTTATAGGTTTAATGAGCTACCTCCAAAACCCACTTTTGAAATGACAAATAACAATTTGGTTCTTCCTGGCAAAAATGTAAGCCAATGGGATGAATCTTCTAAGAAAAAAGAAACAGATGTTAAGTAATAGTGGAGTGAGAGAGGAGTCTTAATGGTCAGCTTCACAAGAACATGCTGCAAAAAAAACACCAGAAAACAAAACTAGATTCTAAACTAAACACAGCGATAAAAAGTCTCCAAACTTTGACAGTGGAGTTGGCAAGCACTGGACTCCATACTTTGATAGTATGAAGGTAAAGTTGCTAAAACTCTTTTGTCTTCATACTTTGAAAGTAAAGCTGGCAAACACCTGACTCCATACTTTGAAAGAATGATAGTAGAGTTGGGACAGGATTCAACTAAATACTTTGATAAAAAATATAGCTAGTATTCCACACTTTTTTTTTAAAACAGCAATCAACACAACCAACTGACACTCACTGAATGACAGAGAAAGACTTTTTGAATGATGAAACAAACACAATAGAATTATTTTCACAAAAATGTGTACTTATATATCAACAACAGAGGGGCAACATAAACACAAATATATCCTTGACAAAATGGCTGTAATACTCTTCTTGAAATGTTCTAGTCCTCGCCATCATTGACTTCCTCATCAGGGGAACACTGGAAATAAATTATTACCCTGTATTACAGGTAGTCTGAGGTCTGGTGGTCAGTATTTATGAACATGTCACTCCTCCATAAATCTGGCAATCTTGTGATAATACTTTTTCTTCAGAAATAAATGCCAAACACTGTCAGGAATTCACATGCTATTAACATTCTACTGTCGTCAACATAATTGTCATGATCATGGTAGTGGGGGAAATAGCAGAAATGTGAGACTTCCAGAAAAGCACTAAACATGTGATTGTCATGGTGTGCACAAAAGCCATGTGAACTACCTGAAGTAAGGGAAGTGAGCTCAAGTTATGAACCGGCTGAGGACAGTCGACCGGACGTCCTATCGGACAGCTGGACAACTGCAGTATGGCTGTACCACAGGGGTGTAGATTAGTGGTGGTAGTTATAGTGACAGTTTAGCTAGTAGTAGTGAGGACATTTGTGTCAGTGCATCAATTGTGATAATTATTATAGAACTAGATGATGTTAAGAGAACTATGTCGCTGTTTGTTTTACACTTTACAACTTGAAAGTGTCCTGAGATAGCCTGTTGTCGTGGAGTCTGTGATCACGAGAGTCTGAGAAGTCACAGCAGAATATTATACCTTCGCCCAGCTTATTAGTCCAGATCATCATACCAAAACATAATGAGAGGCATTGGGAAGATCAGGGGACGAGAGGGAATTCTAACTACTCTCGACACATGACAACTGGGAGCTTGTCCGTGAAAACTGTCACTGTAAGTACCACCACTACTCTACGCCCCTGTGGTATGGCTACACTGCAGTTTTCCAGACCATCCGCTAGGATGCCCATTCACAGCCCGAACTCACTTCCCTTACTTCAGGTAGTTCACATGGCTTTTGTGCCCACCATCACAATCACATGTTTAGGGCTTTTCTAGAAGTCCACATTCCCCCGATCTCCACCCCTACCACGATCATTCAAAGACATACGAGACTGGATCATATTTTTGTAGACAAATTGGCGCACAATGTGTGATGATGTCAACATCATGCTGGCCACCTTTACTTCCCAGGACTTTACCTGGTATCTGTTTTACAGAGTAGCTTAACCTTGCAGCCAATGTCATAAAAAAAAAAATCACAATCAATGTGGACTCGAACCCAAGACATTCGGGCCAGCAGATAAGCATCTAGCTGCTATTGCTCTTGATCTTAATGAACAACCCTAAATAACATGCAGGTACAGACAAGCCCTTCACTCACAAAATACTCCACAAAACAGATCTGCCCATCCTCCAGTTTGATCATATACTGCATGGACAGAAAGCCTCTGTCGTCTGTTCTAATGGAGATTCTTGCTGAGAGGGCCAGCGCCTTGACTGACGGCTTCAGCAAACTGATTTTGTACCTGCAGTAATACATGTATGCCAAATGTAATAAAAACTGCAGTAATAATACATGTATGCCAAATGTAATAAAACCTGCAGTAACACATGTATGCCAAATGTAATAAAACCTGCAGTAACACATGTATGCTGAATGTAATAAACCTGCAGTAACACATGTATGCTGAAATGTAATAAAACCTGCAGTAACACATGTATGCTGAATGTAATAAAACCTGCAGTAACACATGTATGCTGAATGTAATAAAACCTGCAGTAACACATGTATGATGAATGCAATAAAACCTGCAGTAACACATGTATGATGAATGCAATAAAACCTGCAGTAACACATGTATGCTGAATGTAATAAAACCTGCAGTAACACATGTATGCTGAATGTAATAAAACCTGCAGTAACACATGTATGATGAATGTAATAAAACCTGCAGTAACACATGTATGCTGAATGTAATAAAACCTGCAGTAACACATGTATGCTGAATGTAATAAAACCTGCAGTAACACATGTATGCTGAATGTAATAAAACCTGCAGTAACACATGTATGCTGAATGTAATAAAACCTGCAGTAACACATGTATGATGAATGCAATAAAACCTGCAGTAACACATGTATGCTGAATGTAATAAAACCTGCAGTATCACATGTATGCTGAATGTAAAAAACCTGCAGTAACACATGTATGCTGTAAATAATAAACTGTTAACATTCTCAGTACCATATGAGATCAGACATTTACCAAGCTACCTTCCTCACTACTGGCAGATCGCCAGTTGAATTCCTGGACCCTCTTTGGCATCAGTGCTGATGTAACCCAGTGACCTGATTATGAACTGACTATCATGTTCACACAATCCCATGGAGCTAGAAAGTTAACTGGATGATACCAGTTTTACAGCAATATTTATCCTCTGTTTCTCAATGGAGTGTGCCTTGTGTCTGAGCTGGTGATTTAACCCAATCTGACGTAACTGTTGTCTCATCTTCTGACCTAAAATGTTATGAGTTAACCTTCTGCTGTCTCAGATGATTACTGCTGAATCTCTTTCCGCTTTACATTGGTTACTGTAACTAATTCTGTAGCAGTAAAGAGAATGGCAACCAACATCAGAAAGAGGACAAACCAAATTCTTTGGCCCTGCCATGTATAGGTAGAACCGAAGTAAGCCCAGACAACAGGAAACTTGGACACAACAATGGATGTTAGGCAACTTGGATTCATACCTTCCGGTCAAAATGGACGCTAGGCATGGTCACTGTTGTGAGATGTGGCAAATTGTTTTGCTTCTGCCAGATGGTGGCCAGTGCATTTTTGCTCCATTTGTAGACTGAAAGGATAGTTTCGTCATCGAGCTTCTGAGTTGAGTGCATGGCGTGACACTGTGAGCTGCTAATTTCATTTGGAATGCTTTTCTACTGTGACAAACGTGGTGGTGTGAATTGTAGATTCAGAAAATGGCGCTATGCCTGGTGTCGCAATATTGGTGGTGCCATTATGTAATTAAAACTGATCACGTGTGCAATTGCTGATCTGTTGGTGAGTTCTGATACCATTCATGATTAACTGCACTTCTAATGTTGGACTGTTTGTGTTAGCACTTTCGATGGCTACCGTATGCTTTTAAATGCATGTGTATGCTAGATATGCTGAGACAGCAGTCTGTAAATATTTCCACAAGGGACTGTGATAAACATTCTGTGTGTTTTTCGTTTGCACAGGGGCGGAGCAACTACGGGGTGACCCGTTTGTTATGAAGCTGAAACTAATATTATCATACAGGGATATGTATATGATAAATGTTAGTGAGTGCCTAACACTGTGGACTGTTGTAATGACGAATGGGATGTGGACCTTTTTCCTTCAGCTCACTGAAACAGCATTAGTCATTATTAGGTATTGATTGATCCTCATAGCAGTTACAGATATAGTGATACTCATCTGAAGGGATACACTTGTTAAAAATCAATGTGAAGTGATATTTAACAGTCATCACTTGGAGCTCAGGTTCTAGATTTTATATGATCAAGTATTGCCTCTGGTCTCCAAAAGAACTAGCTAGAGCTGCTGTCAAAAGACTGTGTCACAATGTCCAAGCCACCAGGACTCTCTCTCTAGAGTTATGGTGTTTCAACACAGGCCTGTATAACCTGTTGGTTTATCAGCTTAGAAATGGGAAGAACAGCCCTGTAACAAAGGTCTGGTGGGAACTGATACTTGCTTTAGACAGCCCTGTTCAGGACTCAGATGGCTTGAACATTTAGTGCATCAGATTTAAGTGTTAAAACAGAGTTTTACAGACGATACACAACCAGTCAGATCAGAAAGTGTTAAGAAAAGTATGTGACAGTTTCCAATGTACGCATGGTTACAATGAATTAAATATCAGATATTACAACTCTAATACTAACCTGTTTGTTTGGGTTTTTGAACACTGAAATGATTCCATCATCTCTGAATCTTTCGGAAATGAAGACTGAAAATAAACAAAAAAAATTGGCTGTCACCACAGGTTCAAAGTCGGGTAACATGCAATTTCTGAACATCTCTCTCATCCATTCCAGATTTCTAACTTGCCAATAAACTTATTCTTCTAAGGATAAAATGGGGGGGGGCTTTTCCTTAACTTCCACCTACCCCCAACAAATGACTGCGACCTTTGACTCCAGCAGGAACTACTGGCTGTCAGGACAAGTGAATGTCCTGCTCTGTTCAGGTCAAGAGTTGTTCACTTTAGGGTCTGAGATGAGCAGGACATTTCAGACTCTCCAGTACTTTGAAGGTAGAAGTAGTCACCATTAGGAAATGTAAAAATCATGCACACCTGGCCAGTTTTCTGAGCTTGAAGAAGGTATTGGCAGTTCTCTAACACAGTCCCCAGGTACTTCAGTAGTGATGAACTGGGAGTACAACTCTGACATGACCAGACGCAGGGCTTGCACACATTTGACACAAATGTCAATGCATCAGATTTCAGAACTAAAAATCAACAATCCAGTTCATTGACTATAAACCAACCAAGAGACAGGTGTTTTTAGCCAGAACAAAAGGAAGTGATGCTGAAGAAAGCATAAATATATTTTGTGGGGATACTTACATGGCTACTGCCGGCATTGCCAAAAGTTGAAAACTGGAGATAAGGTTCGTCAGGAGACATCAGAATCTGAAGAACATCACTGGTTGTGTCCAGCTCACTAAACACTTCTTTGAGACATTCACTCTGTGAAAGCAAATGGAGACTCAGCATGTTATTTCTAATAAAAACGAATCTGGTGATTGTTCAAGATTTACCTCCTACCAACAGGATGGCTTCAATAAAAGTCTTTCCTGTTTGGGTTCCAGGACCTTATTGTGGAAAGGGGGGGGGGGGGGGGGAATAAACCCACTGCCCTCTTAAAAGCATGTCGTAAGAATAAAATAATTAGGAATGTTTCCTCCCAAGTTAGGTGCATCTGCCTGAGATGCGGGGAACCAATAATCTGCATAAAAATAAGCAAAGCTGTAAAACGAAAACTCAGGCTCTGGAGCAAGACTAAAGTCCAGAAATTTACACTGGAGTTCACAGCCGGTAAACATGAAGAATAAATGTTCCTACAGCTGTCATTGTCACCTAAACTTATAAAGATATGATACACAGATTATACCAAATGTAGTAAAATATTGATTTCTCACTGCCGATTCCACATTTATCTAATAATATCAATTGACCAACAACTTAAACTAGCTTACCTTCATGATAATCTTGTTGACAACATTTGTGCTGCAAAAGTCAAAGTCCAAGACCTCATCCGGCTCCAAAGTCTTCAAGCTACAGTCAGTAAGAACCCCTTCCTCTTCAAGCCTGACAAATGCATCACATAAGAGTGAGAGAGCGTGTGTGCGAGCATGTGTGTACGTGCATGTGTGGGGGTGGGGTGAAGGTGCAGACACTGAAGCCTAGCGGTAAACCACAACACAAAGTACTAGCCTCCATTCTAAAACAAAGAAGAAGAAATAAAATGCCAACTAACATTTTTGGAATATCTGATAGTAAGTGGGTAGTGATTTCTTCACTTGTGCAACTCAAAAGTCAAAAAGGCAGTTGGCAATACTAGTTTGTCATAAGCGAGTAGTTTCAGAAATAAATAAAATGGAGAACTCTATTTTTTAAGGTATTGGGACACCAGGCAAATGTTGCTAGACTCATTAGTTTAAATACGGGTAGTACGTGTTCAATAATAGCTATTAAAACTGCCAATGACATATTGCAGAATATATTAACCTCCAGCTAGTTGGCGTCTGTGGCTTAGGTGTTGCGAACGCACTTCATAATGCTGGGGTGCCAGGTTCGATCCCAGCTGTGGACGATTTGTCTGGCATTCGTTTAGACAGTGGTACCCACAGTTGCGAGTCCGACTCGTAAGCCAGCATACCGCGATCGAAACCCACTGCAGGCTGCGTGGATTTTTATCGTGGTATGGGACGTCGCAGGTCGACCCAGCCTAAAATGGGTACCAGGATGGGCTGTCCTGGGAAAGTAAAGACAGCCGGCGTAATGCTGACCACATTACCCACAGAGTGCTGATGGTCTGTAAAAATATGGGACGCTCTGCCCATATGCCCGATGCGCCGAAAGGCGTGAAAAGGGAACTTTACTTTTTTTTTTTACTTACCCACAGTTGACAGTTAAGAAAGCAATGGCAAACTACTGAATGTAAAATTTGCCTAGAAAAACCACAACAGCCCAAAAAATGTTGGGGTTGGTTCTGCGACGTCCTGTAAAGGATATGCAACTAACTGTTGGCGTCCGTGGCTCAGGCGTTGCGAATGTGCTTTGTAATACTAAGGGTGCGGGGTCTGATCCCAGCTGCGGACCTTGCGTTGATTTCAACAGTGGTATCCAGAAGCCAACCGCTCAGAAAGCAATGGCAAACTACTTTATGTAAATTTGCCTAGAAAAACCACAACAGCCAAAAAATTATGGGGTTAGTTCTACAGTGTCCTGTAAAGGATACAGAAGTAACTGTTTAACCTCTAGCTGTGATTTTTATGAGATGTCAATGTTAGAAAAAAATCAAGTGATAAAATTGGTGTCTATACTGATTTCAGTCAGGTCTTACATGAGGATCAGCGGACAGCCATATCCTGCGTAGCACATCTTAAGGCTTGTACAGACGCCAGGCACGGCACTGCTGCCAAATATAGTCAGGCATTCCTAGAAAAAAAAATCATCAACATTTATTAGAATTACTTGGCTAAATAACAGAAAAACTCCCCTAACTTATATCTCTTTCCTGAGCTTAGTAGAAAGATAGGACCCTAGTCATCTGGGAAAGTATTTACAACTAAAACATCAAGAAGAAGAAATACTTACAACTGTGAGTATAAGTTGGTACAAGTACAAACACATCGGATAAGGAACACAAGTCGCTATAATTTAAGAAATACAAACAAAAGAATAATAACAGGAACCTGGCAGCTGGATCATGACAACACAACGACCTATTCTTCACATGCAGTTTATATTTTCTTAGTCAAATGCAACATCAAACTGGTTAGTCAGGCTCCTGTCTCTACTGACATGGCTCTGCATTATATTTAGCTGTTCCCCGGGCTGGTCAGTCAGCCTCCTGTCTCTACTGACATGGCTCTATGTGACATTTAGCAGTTACCCGAGCTACTTAGATTCCTCTCTGTTCTGACAAGGCTACATGAGATATTTAGCGGTTCCCCGAGCTGGTTAGATAGGCTCCTGTCTGTTGTGACCCGGCTCCATGAGATATTTAGCTGTTCAAACGGACCCATATAGGGGCCACAAGAAACTCTGGATGGAATACAACATACAAAATGTTCTGAATTTAAAAAAAGGCCTCATTGATTAATTGTATGTGTCCCAATCACAGGTCAGAGCTCATCCTGTAGCACAGGTACTTTAAACATGCAGCCTTTTGAAGCAATCGTTTTTGTTAAATGACCTCAATTAGTTGTCGTATGTGGCCCTCATGACAATACAAGCATGACCCATATGGCCCTCTGTGGACCCTCAGGTGGACATGCCTGATGTAGCCAGGTCCTGTGCAGAACGTGGCCTTCGTGGCTCTCTAAGTAAACTCTGTCTCTCACCAGCCCTAACTGCCTCGTGTACTCTTAAACCCAAGGCAGGGTTACAACTCTGTAAGTGACTTATATCTATTGCCCAACTTTGTGCTGGTCGGCCCCTGTCCCTCTTTCATGGAACCATGTCTTCTGATATCATTTTTTTTTCCAATTCGCTGTGGAGCTTCAAATGGCCAAAATATTTCAGTTTGACTTCCATGATAAGTTTTTGAGATAAACAATGCAGTTGCTTATCCCTTGCTTTCCACACCCACAAAGCTTTAGACTATGCCGATCACAGACTTGTTAAAAAGACCTGTAAAGACAGCAAACCAAAGTGCAGATTTGTGTTAACCTACCAGCAAGACTGTCAGATTGATTTTGAAAGCCAGTTGGTCAGCCTTGATGTTATACTCATGAAAAATTGCCTCTTGGATGAAAGCATTGGCCTGCACACATTTGGCATCTTCTACTGTCACTTTGATACCCATAGGGCTAGCAAATATAATAGCTGTCTGAAACATTAATGGCAGGTAATAAGAAATGGTTAGAAAGTAGAGAAGAACATAATGAATGTGTTTAATTAAATTCTAGAAAAGGCATTAAGTTAAAAGAATAAACTGTGATGGCAATTTCTGCACCAAGAAAGTAAAAATAAAAAATAAAAAAACACACACACTCATGTTTAATTAAGAATCGACATCACAGCACTTCAGGACACTACCATAAGTGCTTTATACCCCTCTTCAGCAGCAAGCAAAGAGTTCCAATTCCAATGGCATCAGTAACCGTCTGACTGTATATCCGTCTCATCTTTCCCCTGAGAGTTCAGCATCAGCCAGATCCCCTGGTAACTCTCCACAGTGCCATTCTACTCAGACCGTAATGATTTATCTGCGCCTCCGCATTTTTCACTTTTTTAGAAAGGGCCCCCACAATATCTAGCTTGTCATACATCAATTCACCACCAAGTGGTGCAGAGCTGGCCAATCTATCTGCCTGCTCATTTCTTAACACACCAGTATACCCTGGAGAAAATATCCAAAGGGTGCCAGCTACCAGAGACCTCTGAAGTGATGCTTGCCACTCTGCACGAAGCATACCTGTCTTCACCTTTCTCAACATGCTCTGTGAGTCTGTAACAATCATAGCATGTGTGTACAACTGATTCTCAAGCCAGCGAAAGGCAGAAAAGACTGTCTCCCCTTCCATTCTCAAACTAGACGTTGTGACATCATATGCAAGGCTTTGCTGCACTAAGCACTAACCATTTGCCTTTGCTATGAACCCCCTTGCACTTCGTCTGCCCCTCAACACAGAGCCATCTGTATAGATAATAAAAATACAATTAGAAAGAAGCAAATTTTGCATTATGCTTTAAACATGGTGAAGAGTAACAGGACCCGCCCTATTTCTGGGTATGGAAGGCAGAAAGTTTCAGGGATTACTCTACAACTGAATGTGAGAGGCTGAGAGCTTCATGGATTGCTCCCCAACTGGGATTAGAAGGTAGAAAGTCTCAGAGATGCTCCACAACTGGGATTAGAAGACAGAAAGTCTCAGAGATGCTCCACAACTGGGATTAGAAGACAGAAAGTCTCAGAGTTGCTCCACAACTGGGATTAGAAGACAGAAAGTCTCAGAGTTGCTCCACAACTGGGATTAGAAGACAGAAAGTCTCAGAGATGCTCCACAACTGGGATTAGAAGGTAGAAAGTCTCAGAGTTGCTCTACGACTGGGATTAGAAGATAGAAAGTCTCAGGGTTGCTCCACAAATGGGATTAGAAGACAGAAAGTCTCAGAGTTGCTTCACTCCTGGGATTCAAAGATAGAAAGTCTCAGAGTTGCTCTCCATCTGGACTTAGGAGGTAGACAGACTCTAAGAGTTATTCCATAATGGACTTATAAGGTAGACAGTCTCAGGAGGTGCTCTACATCTGGAGATAAAAAAGCAGAATCTTTAAAAGATTGCTGAAGACAGGAAACAAACAGAAACCAATAAAAGATGAGAATATTTAACTGACACATTATAAAGACAAAATCAAAATTGTGAAATTATACACGAAATAAAACTTTGTGACACATGAAAAAGAAAACTAGAATATAAAGTAGACAACCCTTAAAAATTTTGATTTAACACAGTGAAAACAATAAGACATTATGAAATGTAACATATTGAAAGTCTGATGTCATATAACATGGAAATTATGCAACTTGATGATGTCTTAACTTTATAAAAGATGACAAAGTTATAAAGAATGTGTACAGAAGCAATTCTAAATAATGATATATGTAAGTCAGAAACACATTTTATTCCAAACAAATACAGCGGAACTCACATCTTTAAAATGAATGGCTTTCAAGATGTTTGAAACACTGCGTGCGTTATCCAGCTTAGCCACCAGAAGGTACTGGCTGTCATCCCCTGCTCTCTGTGTGGACAGCATGGGTGAGTCTTAGACTTCTTTCCGGACATCAATTATATACTTACAGGGTCTTATAAATGCCAGCCTGTATATTTTGAGAAAAACAAAACACATAAGCCAGGAAGTAAACTGTGGAATTTACAGTGTATTGTCTTCTCATTGAAACAACAATGGAAACCAAATTTCCTCTTCAGCCTTGCTTTTCAATACGATTTTAACACAAAGTGACTCAAAGAGCCACACTTTAGGTGAGAATGAAAAAGGAGCAATTCCCAGATTCTCCATTCAAACATATAACACATTTATAATATTAGGGCATTTCCCGATGGTTGCACATTAACCTGAAGTAGTCTCCCCTTGTGTGAATTTCAGGGCCTCAATTTTTTGGGGGAAAAGAACAGACCAACTGTCCCTTGGCAAATCTGTCGTGAAAGTCAATTAATTAGCAGTGTATCCTTCTAAACCAGAGTGCATCTGCTTGAAAGGCGAGGAATAAAATGGATATACACACAAAACTCAAATTCTGGAGCAAGAAGTTGATGAACAACAAGAACATTCCCACGGAAGTTTAAAGCCGGTGAAAACGGAGAAAAAGAAAATGTAGTCCGATTTAGGTAGTTTTTATTTACTTTACTGTATTGTAATGACTATCTATTATGTCAATATTTATTGTTCTGCTTCTTCTTCTCTGCGTTAAGTTTCGTATGCTCATGTCAGACCGTCAGGTGGACTGAAGGAAGCTATGAATATGCATGTCAGCTGCAGGTCCTTCATGATCGTTCCTGTTTTTAGACGGAAAATTGTTGTGTGTTTTTTCGTCTAATAACAGGACACTGTCGCTATCACAAGCGTAAAATAAATACTGTACAGTCCCCACAGTGTGCATGTCAGATGAGACCACAAACACATGAGATTTACATTCTCAGTCTGCCGTGAGACCTGCCAATTTTTACTTGACATCATTCACTATAAGAAAACTTGAATTGCTACTTCTCTGCGATATACTCTATAGAAATATTAACCTACCCATTACAATGCGCAACAGACAGAAATACTGACATGAACATACCACTGGGAACAACAAATGAAGAGCTACAGTGGAAGCATACGAAGATTTTCAACGAGAAGTTACAGTTATTTTATAGATTATGTTCATAGACACCGCCAAACTTCCGTCTGACAACAGTTTCTGATAGTTACATCCCTTGCCGGAAACTCTTCTACCCTTCTCTTGCCTCTGGAACTTACTCTCCCTGTCCCAAAATGGGACGGATTTTTAAAATAATTTTAAAGCCCCACCCAGGCTCTCGTCATGGGTCTTAATTTGAACTAACGGGTTGAACATAGTTTCTGGTGGCACTTTGTGTCACGAGGTGTTTATCGCTCGTCATGCGATCCGGGCATGATTAAACGTCAGCCAGCCAGCTTTGGGACACAATCAACTCAAGATAAGACGCTTCCATTTTTTGGGGGGTCATCATCACCTGCAACTCCTTCCGTATCCTTCTAATCGTCATTTGCTATAATTCGTTTTCCCAAGGGATTTAGCTTTCTCCCTCTGCCCCTCTCTCTACTCTCTATCCCATCCCATTCTCTCGGTTCACTTTCTGCCTCCATAGTCTACTGTTTGTCTCTGCTCACACACACACACACACACACACACACACACACACATACATACATACTTACATACATACATACATACATACATACATACATACATACATACATACATACATACACACACACACACACACACACACACACATACATACATACATACATACATACATACATACATACATACATACATACATACATACATACATACATACATACATACATACATACATACATACATACATACATACATACATACATACATACATACATACATACATACATACATACACGCACGCACACACACGCACACAGACAGACACACACGCACACACATACATACATACACACACACGCACATTTAGAAAGTACATATCTGCTGCTGTTTGGTGCATCACTAGGACCAGCATTATTGACTTTGGAAGTGAACAGCCACCGGGGTGGGAATGGTGTTATTTTATGTCTTCGCATACAAAGCGAACAGGACACGGGGAACAGAATAAACAAGGACAGAGCATGGAGAACAGAAGAAAGAAGGACAGAGCACGGAGAACAGAAGAAAGAAGGAAAGAGAACAGAAGAAAGAAGGACAAAGCACAGAGAACAGAAGAAAGAAGGACAGAGCACGGAGAACAGAAGAAAGAAGGATAGAGCACGGGGAAAAGAAGAAAGAAGGACAAAGCACGGAGAACAGAAGACAGAAGGACAGAGCACGGGGAACAGAAGAAAGAAGGACAGAGCACAGAGAACAGAAGAAAGAAGAACAGAGCACGGGGAACAGAACATGGAGGGACAGAGCACGGGGAACAGAACATGGAGGGACAGAGCACGGGAAACAGAAGAAAGAAGGACAGAGCACGGGGAACAGAAGAAAAAAGAAGAACAGAAGGAAGAAGGACAGAGCACGGTGAACAGAACATGGAAGGACAGAGCACATGGAACAGAAGAAAGAAGGACAGAGCACGGGGAACAGAACATGAAAGGACAGAGCACGGGGAATAGAACATGAAAGGACAGAACACGGGAAACAGAACATGGAAGGACAGAGCACAGGAAACGAATATCATGATTTCGAAAGGATTTCATATGATACAGTGCAGTGGAGAACTAGACTGTAAGTCCTGTGTGGGCACTATGATTGTCACATATCACTCCTGTCACGTGCCTGATGTAAGGATTTCTCCTTCAGAACCAACAGCACTCAGAAATAATTATGTTGAGTCGTTTGGCTCGTATTGGTCTAAGGGATTCCCCGTGGCCAATATACGCTCAACTTATTTCTGGAGTAGGGCAACTCAAGTATTGGCACTACAAAATATATCTGTATATGAATACAATATTTCTAGGCACACTTGGCTGGACACCCCCACTACTTACTAAAGAAAGCCCCCAGGTTATGATAGTTCATTATCATAACCATGTTAACACATATAGTTAAGATTCATACACACACAAATGCTAAACACTTAAAAGGGTGAAATAGAGACACGTAAGTCAGCCATGAAAATGAATGCACGTAATCATTACAACATATACATATATAAAATAGTGAAGTAGATGCCCGATCTCAATAGCTGGATTCCAGAATACAAAGTCCAGAGTATAAAGATACCCTAACAACCAGAAGGTCCTTGAGATAACACATTGTCATCCTTGGGAAACATGGGAGCTGTGAGGAATATAGCAAAACATGGTATCAACTGGCACTTATCCTCTTTCTATCGTTGATGCTTCCCTCAGCTCCTGATGAGCTGTCTTTGGTGACTCTGCCTCAACTGGATCAGATGGTGGAGAAGTACCTCACCATAAAGGACACAGCAACTGGATAGGCACACAGCACTTTCTCCCACAAGTCAGTTCACCATACTGTCCCTCAGCTACACCAAGCTCTGGTACTGTTATACTTTTTGGGGTATATAGCACCCAAAACTGGCGTCAGTCTTCACAACTGGTAGTTGGGTGATAATTGGTAGGTAATAGGTTGATTGATTGATTGATTGGTGGGGTTTGGTAGGACTGTGATTCTTCTGCCCGCTCTTCCCAAAGGTTTCATCCCAAGCATAGGAAAAGTCCCCGACTTAATAGATCGCCTTCTGAAAGTGAAATTTTCTGGCGTCGATGCACACATCTGAACGCGTGGAAGCCGTCAAAAAGAATGGCGCAAAATTCGCACTTCAGGCGTTGGTAAAAAGGAGTTCCTTGTATACAGGGGCAAGGAGTAAATCGGTTTCTAAGAAACCTCAAATAACTCTAGTAATATTTATTCAGTAGTTGCACATTTGAAATTGACGTTAAGTCAAAGCAACTAGAAGATGCAGACATTATAATTTTGTCCGATAAAGGCATATATCGATATAAGGGACTATATACCTTCCCGGACGAGTCCAAGTTTGAATGTTGTCTCGAATACAGGTAAGTCAAGTTACCAGTCTTTAGGACTGATGTGTAATGGCTTATCATTCCACGACAATGATGATAATGAAGATGATGATGAGGATGATGAGGATGATGATGATGATGATGTATAGATCCTGCAATATAGAACACTCCTAGTCACAATGTTATGACCTCGGTACTCTAGCTTACCAAAGCCGAGTCAAACGACAATCAGACAGTTGAACAAAGAAGACTTTAACAATTAGAACGCACAATTTATTGCCTGGTATAGTTCGCTGTATCCTGTTAGGGGGGAATTAAAGTAACAATTGGTTTAAATGAAGCAAATAAATTAATCCGTTCAACTAAAACACTAAATCCAGTACATTTAAAAGTAACTGCCTGTTATACCAGAACAAACGAAGGACGACGACCATCTCCTTCTGTTTGCATAAAAACTGTGCCAAATAGGTTCTCCTTTGTAACTTCCACCTAACGGAGGATTGTGCGATTGGTTGAAGTATACATAATTTGAAATGCATCTTCCTTGCTTGAAGAGTTTCCAGATGTTAAAAGATGGCGCGCGATGGTCGAGTAATGATCTCCTTGACCAGTTGCATGAATCGTGTGAGGAATTGTTCGACATTAATTACACATTATATCCTACAATGTTAGCAGCCTTGAGAATGATTCGCCTCGACAAGCTGGCGAGTTCCCAGTGTTGTGTTAAATATTTTGGAAATGTCTTTATTTGTGGAAAAAGTAATTATCAACTGACAGTGCCTCCATTTGTGTATTTGAAGAGCAGTGATGACAAAATCATTTAGTGCCAGCAGTAGTACTAGAGCCAAGAGCAACACTTAACTACGAAATACATTCGTTGTAACGGGAACAGTTGAAGATTGAGAATCATCAGTCGAGATAAATATAATTTTATAATTGTTTATAATTTCGAAGAGGTCAGGGCATGCCAGGTCGCTGCAGTCTAACAAATCATCATCATCATCATCATCATTATCGCCATC